CTTAACACTTCATTAACACTTACTTCAATGACTTATAGTGTTTAAAGTGCACTAGTGGATCAGTGATTACATATTTTTGTAGGCCGACCCTGAAGTTAGCACCCCAAAGGCTTTCCTCTACAAAGACCAATGAGATGTCCTCATTGGATTTTGGTCTATTACACTAAATTAGCTCTGGCGTTTAATAGTCTCTTGTAGTCACCTGTTAGGGAACTGCCGTGTTCCATCACACATAGAAGTTTCAGACCTTCAGAATCTTTTCAGCTTGTGTTCAGTAGATCTTATTTAAGGCTTCTAACCACAAAACACGTTCAAAAGACTGTTGACTTCGAGACAAGGGAACCGGAAGTGGTCAAATGCTAAGTTATTTCCTGGTTTTAGGACTCGTTTCTGCACCACTCTACATAAATATTTACCCAACAAAAAGTATCCTAAGCTAACCAGGACCCTAACCCTTACTGCTATCTGTCATTTCAAAGGCATTTCAGAATGCACAGATCTTCATTATGTTAGTCTGTTATTTTATTACTAACAAATTGAATAAATTATTGTTCTTTTTTCCAATTCATGAGAAAAACACTCAAAGACTCTATTTACATCTGAATAACATGATTCACCTGTTGACATATGAATAGTGTATATTCATATACTGTATGTCAACTATCAGACAGTGAATGTGTATATTCTCTCAGTGAGGAAAGGACCACAGCAGCATGCAGAGCAGCCCTGTGTACCTGGGGGTCTGACTTCACTGTGTTCTCAGAAATGTCCTCAGAAGCACATTTTAACAGGATGAGGGGTACCGATGGGAAACCATGGAAACAAAGCACACAAAAACTCTGCTGGCTGATCCCTCGGGCACAATTACTCGCTGGCCTTCAGCATCCTCCATTCTGTTGTTTTTCACTCATGCCTTCATTTGCACTCAGAAATATCCCCACGGTGCTGCAGCAGATATGCCATGTGTCCACGCCTGCTGATGTACTGTAATGCTATACATTTGTTATGGGCATATGAGCAAGGGTACTTGCTATTATTATTATGTTATTGTTTTAAAATAATACTGTGTGACAAACGATAGTCACACACCATTAAACCATTTTACATTCAACTTTTCTTCATTTGAAAACAGCAAATTCAGTACTGTTAAGCAGTATATAGCCTTATTTTGTTTTCTTCTAAAGGGGCCCTACAATGCTCATGTTCAGGTTCATAGTCAGTCTTTAGTGTCTCTACAGGGACATGTCTCCATGCTTTAATGTTCAGAAAGCTCTTTATTAGTGGGAATGGCTGATACCGCATTCCAACTATATGTTATTCTACGGACAAATTATTATTATTCCGCCGGAATTTTGCCCTCTTTCCTCCTGCATTCAACATCGCAGAAACTCCGTTCAAAACGTTCAGCTCGGTCGGGAATCGATGGCTATTACTTTTATCATTCATAACTTTCATAATTCCAGAGTTCCATCCCATAATTCATCACATTTTTAACCATTGAAGTCAATGGAGAAAATCTTCAGACTTGAACAATCTTCATGCGACTTCAACTGCTAACTGTTCATTCATACTTTCACTCAGAAACCTCATTCCAACTTTAAAATGTTACACATCTTTCTGACATTATTCGTGTAACACAACTTTTAAATCTGATTCTTACTTTTAGAGATATTAAACATTGTTCAGACCTTGGTAAAGAGGCTTTCTTCAGATTTTAACATTAACTAGAGTGCGTGATGTCACAGCTAGAGGGTAGGAAATCTTGAAATTTGCCTTCATATTTTTTTTTAAAACTGCCATAATTCCCAAACCCTACATTCCTGAGACATAATTTTTCATGACAAACGTAGGAAAACATCTCGTAGCTTGAAAAATGACAAATAATTAAGCAAATATAATTAAACAAAATGCCTCTTGAGGGCATGAAGTGACAAAACGTTCAACATGTCTCCATTAAAACCCATTGTAATTTCAGGCTGATATTTCCTCACAGCAGCAGCCGCACACCTTTAGTTAAACTGCCAAAAGGGCCACATTATTAACCCGAAAGTACACAAAAATTACACTTCAGATACTCAACTTCCTTGACATGCTTCACGTTTTGAAATTTCACAGATATCTGTTATGGTTCTTCCACAAAACGTTCACATGTAAGAGTTCATCTCTCATTCAGAACAATGCAAACCTTTGATCTCTACAGAGCTCGTTAGCTCAACTATAAACACCTGTGTAATGGAACACGATGATGTCATCACTCCAACTGACAGCAGTCAGTCTAACTGTTCATTTCATACTCACACACAGCTGCGTTTCACTTCTCTTATTTTCATTTCCTCGCTCCTCGGTCTCGGTCTCACCGGAAGTTGATTTGTCTGCGCCATCTTGAGTAGCGTCCCAATGGCCTTATTTTGCCGGAGGACCGAGGATCGAGGAGCGAGGAGCGAGGAGCGATAATGGAGGAGCGATAACCGAGGAACCACCAGACCATCCTTCGATGAAATCCTCAGACACTCTCCCCGCCCCCTTACTGTGTATCGCTCACTGATTGGACGATGCAGCGCATGCACTGATCTGATGCTTCTTGACATGAGAGCAGTTTAACAGCGGAGTGAAGAAAACACATGAAACTCACGGACTCACTCCTCAGTTCATACTGTGTTCTGTTTCAATGAATGTCATTCAGTTACAAATATGTGATATATCTGAACAACAAAGTGGACAAAAATCATTTTATTCATTTATTGGAAACATTTTCATGATCGCTTTTTCGTTTTACATTTTCATTTATTGTCATTTCCATTCAGTCAGTCATTAAGTGCTATTTAACATGTTAATTTGCTACATATCCACACAAACAAACTAAGTGTGCAATCCAATGAATGTTCATCTAACTGGGTTTTGATAGATAACATATCTCTATTGTGCACTCTAATCAATATTAATCCAACTATTGTTCGTTTATACATTTTAAGAATGGCGTTTATCTTTTTTGAGAATTAGTTCTTATTTGATTTTATTTATTTGGGTCTACAACAGATGATACAAATGTTTGTGTCAGTAAATGTGTACTAACAGGGGCGGGGGTGTTTGTGAAAATAACGGGGACAGAGCTGGCTGCTGTCAGACGATCAGCTGTGCAGCGTCATCACAAACGGACGTCGCTTCACGTGACGCTCCAGAGGAAACGACGTCCCATTGCTCTAAAAACTCATTTCCCTGTCTCGCTTTTACTGTCGAGTATCATTACTGATCAGCTGCTGCATGAGACAGACACTGACGCTTGAGAAGAGAGGAAAAAGAGATAGGCTCTGTGTATTTTATTTTCATATATCATTATATCGTCGTTATTCATTTGTTTTAAAGCTCAATAAATAACAAAGAAGACCTTTGACCGGCACTTTTATAATTTTGTCCGGAAGATTTAAACTTTAACACACGTTGACTGGCGAAAAACTCTGCCCGGATCCCTTGGCCCCCACCGCGGAGAATAAACAGAAGTGCAGCCATGACAACCATTCTTCTTCGCTGCTTTTGTGGAGGAAGTTGCTGCTTTTGGTGGAGGAAGTTACAGCGCCACGTACAGGTTCGGCATATGTACTGCAGCTTTTCCAGCGTTCTCAAAGCTGGTAAAGGTGCAGCTAGTTTGAAGGACTTTGTATACTGCAGGGTAACTTGTGAATTTACTCCAGGTGGAACTAAAGTCTGAGTTAACACTGATTATATTTCACATCATTCATCCACATCTGTAAAGTAACTAAAGGTATTAAACATGTAGTGGAGTAGAAGTACCCATTTAACTATGAACTGTAGTGGAGTAGAAGTACACAGTAGCATAACATTTAAATACTCCAGTAAAGTACAAGTACC